TAGAGGTGAGGATTTTATTCGAATGGAATTTGTTGAAATAAAATTCTTGAATGTGTTTTTTTCTAACTGGGATTAGGATTTCTTTTTTTGAGAGAGATATTAACTCTTTTTCGGGCGACGACCTTTTTCCCAAGCTGACACGCTCGCTCTACCGTCACAGCGAGACAGACAGACACTAATTAACACTTCCCGCACTCCAGTTTCTGTTGATTACGTCTATTTTCACCAGCGCGAAGAACAGTAATTATCTTCTCGATCGTAAATAAAGCCAATGTATGCATATTCATTTCTCTCTCTCTCTCTCTCTCTCTCTCTTTCTTTCAGATTAGAATAACTTGTTAATTTTTTTCCCCCAAGGATTGTACATACACTTGAGGTCGTCTTTTTCTACACGAGAATTTGGATTCTTTTAATACACTTATTGTAACTTATTGTGATTATTGTAAGCTGCACTTTCATGTCCATTATTCTTTCCACTTACAAGAACCTTTAGAATGCGGACACATTTAAGCATTCATTATTTTTCAAATTTTATCTCAAACGGCTCTTGTAAAATTAAAAAATTAAAAATCTCGATCCACCACAAGAAAAAAAAAAAACGATTCCATAAAAATAATTCACTCGCCACGCACTCTCGAAAATCCCCACGTGACCACCGCAAGGGTTTAGCACCAACTGACACCCTCCCGCGAGTAAAGAGGCTGCCAAATGTTCCTAGTTGGCAACCCCGCGCCACAGTTTCCAGGAGTTGTACCGTCATCGCCAGAAGTTGTCGCCGCGACTCCCAAGCATGAAAACTCGACGAAAAACGGTTGGAAATGAAGTCGTTTTTTCCCATTCTTCTTCTTAAAAACTCCATCAGCATTACTCATAAAACTGAAATGGGATTCGTTACGATGGAACCTCCCGCGGGCTGAAAACAAAAACGTATTCACGCCCACGACAGTTCCAACTCACGGCCGACCCACGAAAAACAAACATCCTCCAACGACGAAAAAGAAATGCGACCAATGGCGCCCTTTCCATTCGAATCCAAAGTTCCTCTGAATGTTCATCGTTAAAACCAACATAACGGGAGCGCTTATTATGTGCCGAAAGCTGGCGAAATCACGAAGTGGACTCCCCAATTAGATGCGTTTTTGTTTGTTTGTTTTCATTCCACGGCGCTGACACCAGCCAGCTGCTGTTTCCAGCCTCCCTCTACACCCGCTACAACACCCCGTCTAAAGCCATACATGAACGGATCGGCTACAACCACACATGGATGTGTGTCTTACAACTATACTTGAACGAGACAACGACAAATATACATGGATGAATTCATTACAACTATATACAGACGAGACAACTACAACCATACATGAATGAATTTATTATAACTATACTTGGATGAGACTACACCAACATGGGTGAATTTATTGCAATATAGCCTGGACGAGATAACTATAACCATACAAAGATGAATTTAATACAATTATACCTGGACGAGACAACTACAACCATACATGGATAACTTTAATAAACTATACATGGACGACACTGCTACATCCATACATGAACGAAGCGGCTACAACCACATATATATGAACTTTTTTATAACCATGCCTCGGCGAATCGGCTACAACAATACACGGACGAGACTACAACTATACATGGATGAATCTATTACAACATACGATAGGCCTACATGGTTGAATTTATTACAACCATATGTGCATTGACGAATCAACCACATTCATATATTGTTTCGCAATCATAACCATACACGGATGAATCGACTTATCACGCGGGTTCGAATCAACAACCCTACATGGACGAACAGATTATAACCATACTGTACGATGACGATTCGACCACAACCACATGCGGGCGACTCGAGAGATTTTTCCCCGAGTGGTGTTTTTTTCTCTCACTCTTCTCTCTCTTTATTTCTCTCCCCTTCTCCTTCTCTTCTCTCTCCTTCTCTCTCTCTCTCTCTTCTCTCTCTCTCTCTCTCTCTCTCTCTCTCTCTCCTTCTCTTTCTCTTTCTCTCTCTCTCTCTCTCTCTCTCCTTCTCTTTCTCGCTCTCTCTCTCTCTCCTTCTTTTTTTCTCTCTTTCCCTTCCTTTCTCTCTTTTCCTCTCTTTCTTTTTCTTTTTCTCTGTGTCTGTCTCTATCTCTGCCTCTGCCTCTGTCTCTCTCTTTTTCTCAACGGTGTTTTTTGTCAACAACCATTCCAGACCAAGAATTTTGCACAAGCGATGAAATCTGCTTAGGTTCAACAAACTATGTAGAATGTTCTCCATCCAATTTCCGTATTCATAACATTTAATATTTCATAGTCCTATACACCAAAAATATGTTTCTTTTTTTTTTCTTCCTTTTCTCTCCCTCTTTAATCCTACGTGACTCCCAATATCCACTCTTTTACCCTCCCTCTCCCTCTCCTTCTCCCCATCCTTCCCCTTTATTACCCCCTCCCTCTCCCTCTCTAACCCCACCACCTCCTCCGCGCTCCCTCTCAAAATCCAGCCAATCCCCTCCCCCTCCTACCCACCCACTCCCACTCCCACTCTCTCCCTCGCCCTCTCCCACTCCCAGTCCCTCTCCCTCTCCAACCCCACCACCCCCCTCCTCTCCTCTCACCCTCTTTTCCCTTCCTCACTCCCTGTCCTCTCCACCCAACCCCACCCCCATCACCCCCTCCAACGCACACCAACACAAGCCAGAGGAGGAAAACCCATTCTGTCTGCCAGTCACCCCCCCCCCCTCCCCCCGGGGTTGTCTATTTGCGGAAGGCCACGGCAAAGTTTCACTAACCCCCCCCTTACCCCACCCCACACCCCCACGCCCGATTCGCTCAGATAAGTGCAACGAAAAAATTGTTCTCTCTTTAACGCACCGTGATAATCCAATTTACGACAAATAACAATAAATAAATTGGTGAATAATAATAAAAACAATAATATTAATAATATCAAAAATAACAATAACAACAACAATAACAATACCAAATGATACTACAATATACAACACCTAACAATAAATAAATATGGTAAGTAATAACAAATAATAATAATAATAATAATAATAATAGCAATACATGACAATCGCCAATAAATAAAACGGTAAAAAGAATAGATAGGACTAAAACATACGATAAATTACAGTGAATAAATTAGCAAACAAATATAAGTGGTACTGCAATATACGACAAATAAAAATAAATAAATAAGTAAATCAAATTCAAAAATCCTAACAAAACATGAAATGACACATTCTATACACTTCACCATCGTGTAAATAATATATATATACATAATATGTGTAAATATATATATCATATATAAGCATTTGTAAATAATATATAAAATAAAATATATATATATATATATATATATATATATATATATACATATATATATATATATATGATAACATATATAACAATATAATATAATAATATATATAATAATAACATATACAATATGTAACACAAGACAGCAAGATTTAATCATTTCCTTGAAAAGAAAAGAAAAACAAAAACAATGTTGCAAAAGTTACGAAATGCAGCAGTCACAGAGGTTACGAGCAAAATACCGAATCACAAATACAAAAATAAAAATGTGGCAAGAGAAAAAGAAAAAGAAAAGAAAAAAAAAAGTTTCTCTCCAAGCCAAGTCGAAATTGGGCTAAGACATAAAAGCTTAGAAAGAAACGAGTGTTCCTTGGTCGCTTTTAGCACTGTTTTATCTGCCACTGTTTTTTTTTCTTTGTGTGTTTGTTTATTATCATTATCATTATTATTATTTTTATTTTGTTATTGTTGTTATTATTATATTATTATCATTATCATTATCATTATTATTATTATTATTAATTATTATCTTTTATTTTATTATTATTATTATTATTATTATTATTATTATTATTATTATTATTATTATTATTATTATTATTTAAATAATAATAATAATAATAATAATAATAAAAATAATAATATAATAATAATAATAATAATAATAATAATAATAATAATAACGATAACAATAATAATAACAAAAAAAACAACAAACACAATAATATAATAATGTTATAGTCATAATAATAATATAATAAAATATAATAACAATAAAAAACAACACACATCAACAACAAAACAACAATACATAATAATAATAATAATAATAATAATAATAATAATAATAATAATAATAATAATAATAATAATAATAATATAATAATAACAACAACAGCAACGACAGAACGGACAAAGTTTCAAAATCACAACCAGCGTCCCCTAATCACCTAGCCAGCTGTAAGGTCTATGGGGCAAGTGTCCCGGAGTGATAAGGAAGATAAGTTTTAAATCGGGCTGGAAGTGCCGTCAAGTGGGCGTGGCCACAGAAATGCCGGGCGCTTAACGCAAATCGCCTCTTAAACCTGAGATCAATTGATGGAGCTTTATCGCATTTGGGTTTGTGGTGAGGGAGAGGGAGGGAGAGGAGAGGTGTGAGGGAGAGGGAGAGGTGAGAGGGTGAGGGTAGGGAATGTGAGGGATGAGGGGTGAGAGGGTGAGGGAGATGGAGAGGGTGAGGAGAGGGTGTGGGCTGAGGGAGGGAGAGGGTGAGGGAGGAAGGTGAGGGTGAGGGTGAGGGAGAGGGTAGGGAGAGGGTGAGGGTGAGGGTGAGGGTGAAGGTGTGTGTGTGTGTGGTGTGTGTGTGTGTGTGTGTGTGTGGTGTGTGTGTGTGTGTGTGTACGGTGTGTGTGTGTGGTGTGTGTGTGTGATGAGAGAGAGAGAGAAGAGAGAGAGAGAGAGAGAGAGAGAGAGAAGAGAGAGAGAGAAGAGAGAGAGAGAGAGGAGAAAGGGAAGGACGAGAGAGAGAGAGAGAAAGGGAAAGAGAGAGAGAGAGGGAGAGAGAGAGAGAGAAAGAAAGAGAAAAAGAGAGAGAGAGAGAAGAGGGAGAGAGAGAGAGAGAGAGAGAGAGAGAGAGAGAGAGAGAGAGAGAGAGAGAGAGAGAGAGGAGAGAGAGAGAGAGAAGACGAGAGAGAAAGAAGGAGAGGAGAGAGAGAGAGAGAGGAGAGAGAGAGAGAGTTTGAGAGAGCTAGAGGGAGTTGAGAGAGAGAGAGAAGAGAGAGAGAGAGAGAGAGAAGAGAGAGAAGAGAGAGAGAGGAGGAAGGAGAGAGAGAGAGAGAAGAGAGAGAGAGAGAGAGAGTTAAGAGAGCAGAGAGAGAGAGAGAGAGAGAGAGAGAGAGAGAGAGAGATACAGGAAAGTGTTTCAATTTCATAAAATCTTTTAAAAAATGATTAATGAGTTAAACGCCCTTCCAGTCCAGCAGAGTCCCTCTCCCACGGCAGCGAATACAACAAGCAACAGACACCCTTTATACTAAGCATTAAAGTCCATCTTCCCTTGTCTTCCTATTACATTAAGGTCCACCTTCCCTTCCCTTCTTATTTCATTTAAGTCCTTCTTCCCTTCCCTTTTTATTTCATTAAAGTCCATCTTCCCTTCCCTTATATGTTCATTAAAGTCCATCTTCCCTTCCCTTTTTATTTCATTTAAGTCCTTCTTCCCTTCCCTTTTTATTTCATTAAAGTCCATCTTCCCTTCCCTTTTTATTTTATTTAAGTCCTTCTTTTCCCTCTTATTTAATTAAAGTCCATCTTCCCTTCCCTTTTATTTCTTTT